TACAACAGCGTGCGTGCTTTCAGTGGGCTGGCACGTGACTGGACGCAGTTCCTGTCCTTATGACCACGGCCAGGTTCTCTAAGATAACGGGACAGCGACTGCACCGGGTGGCGTGGTCCTCCCCTCTCCGAGCGGCCGGGGACTGAGTGGGGTGCCCCCGCCAGCTCTCCGTGACTTCACGGGGTGCGAGGGCCAGGCTGCGTGGGCGCTTGTGTGCCCGGTGCTGAGAGTGGGCAGGTTCTCGACAGCCCTTCCGTTGAACAAAGCACTTATTCATTTATTTCCTCCTCTGGCTCGGTGGTCCAGGTGTCTCTGCCTTATTTCCTACCAGACGAGACAGCATTGAGATATCGAAACACCGTCCTTCAGGAACGTGAAAAAGAAATGCTTCCATTCAAATAAGGCTAGAGACAAGCAGAGGCTTTAAAAACGTACCAAATTTAACAACAACGCTGGAATTCTTCTAAAAAAGAGGTCAATTATTTTATCCAAAATCAAGCTTGCGAAGGAACGTGAGCTCCTTCTGAGAAGGCAGGAGGCGGCCCCTTCAGGAATCAATGCGGACACTCCCCGCAGTTGGATCCGGCCGCGTTCACTCGCTCCCGGAGACCGAGCGGGCGGGCCGCCCGTGGGAGCGGCCACAGAGATGCACTGCTCTGCTGGGTGGCGCTGTTGTTTCTCCAGAGCGGGGGAGGCAGGGTCCACCAATGGTGCAACCGAGGGACCCTGCCGCAGGACCACTCGGCCCCGAGACACACGCGGGCGGGAAGCTCCAGGCCCTAATTCCGATGCAGAGCACACAGACCCCCCTTTATTTACGGCTCTGGAGCAGTTGCCTCCTCTTGTGTCCTTGGAAAAGGAAACACCGTGGTTTGTGAGAGAACAACCTTGGACATCACCTGGTCAGCCGCCCCTTTCAGAGTTCAAGGAAATGTCCTTTGAGGCAAAGGCACTGGTCCGGTCACACAGGCAGAGGTGGCACCCACAGACAGGCACCCCCCCACCCACTGCGAACACGGTGATGTTCGGGTCTTTGCACCTCCGAGATAGCAGAGCTGTGTGGCCGCTTCCACACGGAGCTCGGGGGCTCCACAAAAGGGCATCGTTAGCGTTGTCACTGTCACTCGCAGTTTCTCGGAATTCCTCTCTTCACAACGCAACTGACCCTCACCCCGCTCCTGCGGGGCAGAGCGGGTCGGCTCCCTGGTCCCGGTCGTGGAAGGGCAGGATTCTAGCTCCAGACAAAGTGCTGAGGTGGAGGGAAGGGACGTTACCTTCTGGGGCACCAGGCCGTCTGAGGGTCAGGCTTTCCCCACCTTGACCTGGACGTGACAGGACGCAGCCCCGTTCTCCAAGGTCAGAAGCACTACAGGTGGCAGGGTGGATGGATGGACGGATAACGGAGGGATGAGGGAAGGAAGGGTGGACCGATGGGAGGACAGATGGACAGGTGGATGAAAACACGGACGAACGGACGCGTGAACCCTGCACCACGCCTCTGAAGGACTGGTCGGAACGCACTCTGCACCTGCAGGCCGCCTCCTGCGGCCTGGGAGAGACAGTGGCGGGACACGGATCTCAGTGTGGGGACATTTCTGCTTCTCTGAACGCCGCGGGCTCCCTCAAGTGCTCTTCTGGTCTCACAGGCTCCGCTGCTCGGGCCTCAGGGTTGAAGGCCTCACCGTGAAAGGGGTGAAGGCCAGACGGGGTCTCCCTCTGCCGGCCAAGCTGCACGCCCCTGGAAGGCAGGAGAGGGGCCCCCCAGCCCTGGGACATCCCCACCCCCGGGCTTCCTCCATTCAACGCCCATTTGCATCTCGCTCCCACAACACACGCGCTGGCCACGATGCTTAGACACCACGTACAGAACGGAAGACTGAACCTCTGTTCACTGGAGGGAGCACCGATGCCTCTCCGCAGAAAGCAGAGGCGACTCTTGCCATTAAACACACTCTTTAAGTTCAGTGGCATCTCGCCTCCTGCAAAGGTTACTTGCATGGCAAGTGAGTGGGGGGGGCACAGTCCGAGCCTCAGGCCTGGAAGGGTGATGTCCCCAAGGGTGATGACACCGGGGACTGTGCAGGAGGCAGGGAAGTGGGGGCCATGAGGTGACCAGAAAGCAGTGACGATGGTCTGGCGAAGGGGCTATTTCTAGAACTGGGACGGGGACATTGGGTCAAAAAGCTGAGTGTGACAGCAAAGTGATCGCCAGTGCACCTGGGTGTCAGGTCCCGACATCACCTCATCCACCGCTCACCACCACACCCCACCCAGCAAGGTGGCCGGTGTCTAGCTGGTGTACCGTGAGCTCACCGTGGCTACGGAAGGGCCTCAGGTACCCCGCCCGCCAGAAGCCCGCCTCTCCATCGGAAGAGGAACACGACAACCGGGCCCCAGGACCCTCACTAGGAACCACCATCATGTAAACCGCTCACCCGGCGGAGAAGACGGGCCAGGTCAGCAAGTCATCACAGTATCATCACAGTGACCTTCTCACTGTGTCCAAGGGGGACGGCTACCGCTCCGCCAGGGCCCCTCCTACCTGTCCCCCATCTTCCTGAATGCAACCCACTTTCCAGGGAAGTCCCACATTTGCCCCTGGGCACACATACCGGGGCCGGACTCCCAACCCTGCTGGGGGCCCCCCACTGCCCCAGCGTCCCCATGGCTGTGCAGTCCTGTGGGAGGCACAGGGGTCCCAGTGTCACAGGGCACAGATGCTGCTCAGGTGCTGTGTGGGCGCTGTGGGTGCTCGGCCAGGGGCGGGTGCAGGCTGCCCAGGACCCGTCTGCATGGGGTGGGACACGGCCCGGAGCCCAGCTGGGCTCCCACTGCCGCCTGGGGGTGGGGGCTGTTTATTTGCATTTCTTGGCTGAAACCTTTCACTCCTGCCCTCGCCTCTGCTGGTCTTCCTCCTTCCTCACCTCCCTGTTCTCCTGGCAGCTGCAGCCCCGCTCTGCAAACACACACACACACACACACACACGGACGGACCTCCCCCCCCCCCCCCCCGGCATCTCACTCCACCACCTAAAAATACATCCCACTCTGACAAGCTGGGTCCCCGCAGGTGGCATGATGTTGAGTCAATGCCAAAGGACCGCATCCTACTGCGGCAGGCCTTTGATCCACTCAGCCTGCGTACTGAAGACCCAGAAACACAGCAGACACGGTTCACAGAGGACAACAAGACCCTTCGCAGTGGCACTTTGAAGCCCGCTTTCCGCCGCAGACTGATGCAATCAGACCTAATTGTCCGCACCTGTGCAGTCATGTGGCTTCAGAAATGACTCCCAGCCCACAGCGGGCGTCGGCGGGTCCGGCTGACCCTCGGAGTCTGAGGGTCACACTGGCCGGGTGGGAAAGATGTCACCTAGCAGAGCAGCCAGCCGCTCCCGCCCGGTCACGCGGGCGTCCCTCCACTCCCTGTGGGCGCGCGCCCAGGCCGTCATCCCCACACTGCAGAGCAAAGCTCTTTCTGGAAAAACCTGCCTGACAGCTCGGAAGAGTCAGGAAGTGCGTAAACGCACAGGGGCTGGCCCCCCGCCCCTGCCCCAAGCACAGAGCCACGGGACTCATCTGGAATCCACTGTAGGGGGCACTTCGCCTCCCAGTCTCCACCTTTTTGGGGAGCCCCCTGGGGACTCGCCACTTAACAGGGGGTGACGGGTCACAGGAGCAGAAGACAAGGCCCCTCTGCCCCGGACACCCCTCGGCCGCCCAGAGCGCGTGGGACAGGCCAGCTCTGAGCCGCACCCTGGGCATGTCCTGTTGCGTGTGGCGGACACGCAGACGGAACTCTGCCTGGGGAAGGCAGAGAGTAAAGGGGGGCTGCCCGGGGGCTGCTGTGAAAGCCACCAGGACCCCGGCAGCCCTGCGCTGACTCCAGGTCCACACCCAGGAGTGGGGTGCGGTCCGAGTGCCCCATGGCGAGGAGTCCTGGCTGCCGGAGGTGGCCGGTGCCCTCCCCGAGGACTGACGGTGAGCGAGGTCCCTTGGAGTGGAATGTGGGTCCCTGGACCGTGTCCTTGGGGGTGCCACCCCCCCACCAGGTAGCTCAGCATGACAGGCCCAGACTCTGCCACTGATGAGTGTCTAAACCAACCCACCGCCCAACTCTTCCCCAGACGGAGTCAGGACTCCACCCTGCCCCACCCCCTCGCCTGGTGAGGTGGCCGGGCTCCGCTGGGTCTGCTCTGGCCACCGTCACAACGACCGGCAGCATCGACCCGCACCCCGGTCAGTGCCAGCCGGGGGACATAATGCGTCAGGCTGGTCTCTGCTTCCTCCACCCCCAGTTTATTTCTGTCGCCACAAAGCCAGGACGTGCCCTCGTCCGAACCACAGCCTCCGTGGGCGGGCAGCCCCGTGTCCCAGCGCGCTGTCACCGCGGCTGAGACGGTGGACGGCTGATCTGAGGAATCGGGTTGGACGGCTGTCCGGGTCTGCACTCGGCTCTCGCCCCGTCTGTCTGATTGATTTCACTCCGCGCACCGCGGCTTGTCGCTACGCATTTTCGTGCCGGTCAGGAGCCCCCAGGACTCGAGACCCGGAGGAGCAGCCCCGCCCCTCCCGCCCACCCGGCCGCCTGTTAGTTCTGTGTTTTACTCCTCATCCTCCGCCAGGTCGGAGAAAGGTTTCTTTTCAAGACCAGGGACCTGGACACAATGGACACTGGCTACCAGTGCCCCCCCCCCCGGCTCCCGCCCACCTTGTGGCGACATCCCGGCCACTGCTGTGTCAGGCGTCCCCTGTTCGGCAGCCCCGCGCAGTGGCGGGCGTGTGGCTGCCGGTGCCACGCCAGCGCTGATCGTGTCTGACGGCCCCGGCCGCCCAGCCGCCACTGCCTGCCTGGGTAGAGAGCTGCTGCTGGCGCTGCTGATGCACCAACGAGAACGTAGGTGACCGTCAGGCGAAGAGGAGCCCTACTAGGTGTCACTGTGGCCCTGCGGCTCTGGCACGACCGGCAGGGAGGGCGCGGGAATGGGGCGGTCTCTTACGCTGATGCCCTGCGGACTGTACATCTGACTGGCCGCGAGTCCGTCACTGTATCCTCCTGTCTGGCTGATAACATGGCGAAGGGTATCCACCTGGGCGAACAAGAGAAGAGGTTAGTCAGGGGGACGCGGGGCAGCGAGCGGCAGCGCGCACAGGTGCCACCGCTCTGGACACGGTGGTCCTGGGAGGGGCCCCTCCGCCAGCCCCCAGCAGCCTCCGTCTGGGGTCAGGGTGGGGGGCCTCGGCAGCGGGCAGCAGGAGCCCCCACCCCGCACTGGACTCTTCGGTGAAGCTGCAGGAGGCGCAGGGCCGGGTGGAGGGTGCGGGGCGGGGTGAGCGCTGTCCCTCCCGCGCCGCCCCCGGGGGAGCGTCTCCTCTGCCAGACGTCCCCTGAGATTCGAGCGTCTGTGACGAGGGGCCCCGCCGGCCACCTCCCCGAGAACGCAGTGTGGGGCTCACTCCGAGGACCGAGTGACGACCCGCTGTCCGGTCACCTGACCCACGTCTGACCGCGGATTCCTCAGACCGGAACCCAGGCCACTCCCCAAGCAGGGGCTGGCTCCGGGGTCAGCTGCGCTGCTCTGGGCCACACTTCCGTCCGCCTGCCGGCAGGACCCTGGGCGCACCGGGCTCGGACACGCCCTGGCACGCCGCCCCGGAGCGCCCACCGCCCTCGCCTGTCCGGTGAGGGGAAGGCGAGCTGCCCTGGGGGCGCCGGGGGCTCCACTGGGCGGCTTTCCTTCTGTCTCTCAACACGGCCTGAGACCCGCCACCAGGACGGAGGCCCTGACCTTCAGGAACACCGAGGACGTGAGCTCGGTCACCTGGCTGCGTGTTCCTCACAGGGACACGTGAGACGCCGAGGCACCTGCCCCCTTGGGAGCACCTCCACGGCGGCCACACCGAGCGGAGAACCCAGAACAAGAGGGAGGCCTGCGGCGCACGGCAGCCCCGCCCGTCAGCGCGCAGAACACGCCGGCCGCGCCTCCTCGCCGCCTGCTCCTGCCCTGCCTTCCCCGCGTGACTGACGGACCAGAGCAACGCATTCGCCGAGTGTGGACGCGACTCCCGCGACAAGGGCTGCCCTCGCTCCGGTTTGGCCGCTGAGACTGGTTTCCTGGCCCCCGTCCCTCTCTCTGGCTCCCTCTCTGGACGGCGGCAGAAGTGCCAGCAGGCCGAGGGGTCCCCTGGCGGCACGCGGGCGGGCCCTACCTGTGACTGCACGTTGGCTCCGACCTGGGCCCCTTGGTAAGAGTCCCCATTGAGTGACTGCACGCTCATGAACAAGTCTCCAGAGTTGGACATGTTAAAAGAGCTGGAAGAACCTGGAAAGGAAAGGACGAGGCACCTGATCACAGAGAGGAAAAGGCTCCGCCCCGCAGCCGGCAGCCGAGAGGAAGGCACATGCAAAGCAACCCCCAACGACACAGGCACACGCACGACCTCCACGGGGCGTGGTTAGTAGCGAGGAGACAGAGCAAGCGACGAGGGTGCAGGTGGCCTTGTTAGGAGGATCCGGGCTCCGCAGGCACCCCAGGGCCGGTGCCACAGAGCACCAGGCGGGGACGGGGCGTTGGTTCCTCCCCACTGGGTCTCGTGGGGCTGGAGACAGGCTCTGGATCTGGGACCCCTCTGCCCTCCCCTGAAGTCTAGGGTCGGCCGGGGGTCGAGAGCTGGAGCGGCTGCATCCTACATACACTGCTACAGCCCGTCTCCGCGTGCGGGGGCAGTCCAGTGACGTGACCCAGGTCTAGAGGGAGGGGGCACGGCTCACTGGGCGGCCCATGGCCCCGAGAGGGCTGCAGGACTGAGAGGCTCTTTGGGAGCGGGCTGCCCTTCCGGACCCTGCCATTGTGCAGGGCAGGAAGCAGAGCTAATGGGCCAGGGGCTCTCCAGCGTGAATGGGACGTGAAATCATCATCATTACCATGAGTGGGCCCCGAGAAGAGCAGTAGCCACCTGCGTCCCCTCCCAGGAATGGGCCTCCCTTAGAGGCAGCCCGGAGGCCCATCCTGGTGCCCCCCGGTCCCACGGGGTGGACCTAGCTCCCTGCGTGACCTAAGCTCAGGGCATGGAAAAGCGTGACGTCATTCCCAAGTCACTGTGCAGTCAGGGTGTTAGGGAAGCAAGCCCAGCGTGCAAGGTGAGGCCGTGCCGTGTGTGGCGAAGTCAGCGCAGAGGGGAGACCTCAGGGCCCAGGTCACTGCCACGCTCTTGCTCCCGTGCACCCCGGGCACACTCCTGCCCTCACTCCGAGACGCCACCCCCTGTGTGGGCTCACCCCACGGGGACTCGTGCCTCTGCTCCGACCCCACTCGGCTCCCAGCCCCGGGGGCCACCTGGGGGAGCAGAAGGTGCAGCACACCCTGTCTCACCCGGCCCACGCTTCCGTGTGGCCCCTCCAAAGGCCTTAGAAAAGCTGGGCCTTGGGGAGGACGGGACGAGGTCTGCCCAGGTCTGGCTCTGGCCTGGACGCCCGTCCAGCCACGAGGGACGAACAGTCCTCCCATGTGGGGCAAGGACAGGCCTTGGCTGAGTCTCGTGGTGACGCTCGTGACACCCAGGCCTCGACACCCCAGCCGCGTTCCTCTGAAATCACCCTTTGAGTCCCAGACAAGTGACCTAAATACCAGAAGCCGTTTTGCCCTAAGTCTGACAACACTCGCGCATTTAAATGTCACCAGAACTGAGAAGAGCCAACTCCAAGACACCACTCATCACGTTCGTGCCCTCTGGGCGCAGCGGGAGGCGCGGACACTCCGCTCTCCCGGCCACACACCAGGGACAGACACACTATCGATGCTGCCTGACGGCTCAGTGGGGGCCAGCACCCAGGCTGGGAATCGGGGAGACCTCCAAGGGCTGCCGGACGCCTGGGGACCTGGGGCGTGCCACTGACGAGACAGACGCTGCCGCCACACGGTGATTTCGGAAACACACACACGCAGAGAAACTGCACCTACATCCGACCTCACAGACACAGGGACCAAGCGCTCAGAGCAAGGGTCTCCTGTCCGGGTGCGCCTGATGCGGGCGGTAGCCCCGGGCTGGCCCGTGTGCAGGGCCCTGTGCGTCAGCGTCACTGTCACCGTGCACCACCCACAGCCAGATCTGGCTCCTGACTCTGACCTGTCTCTGGAGGCAGCAACCACGCTCAGGGACAGAAATCAGCATGAAAACCTAAATACAGAAGTCACGTTCTTCCTCCTGCGCCGGGAGTTGGGAAGACCTATTGTGAAGGAAACCTGGGAAGGACGCGACCCCCAGACCAGGAGTGGACGGGCTCTGCCGCGGGCGCCGTGGCTTCTCAAAGTGCTGAAACAGCACCCCCGCGTGCTGCGGGCACTCGGGGGCCTCCCCCACAGGCGACCTTGGAATGCGCACCCATCATTGAAGCTGCACCATGAGTGGGGGCAGCTAAAGGGCTCCGAGCTCAGCTTGGGACGGGGCGAGCGGCTGACCCCAGCCGCCACCAGAGCTCACTGCATGTCCAGAGCTCACCTGCCCTGACCTAGACCATGAACCAGAATGGCCCACCCAGGGACGTGGGAACACCTGCGCCCTGAGGGCTGCATTTCTCAGGCTTCGGGACACTTGACTGTGTGCAGGAAGAAAAGGACCAACGCCCTTCACAGTCCCGAGACGAGAAGCCTAATTACAAAGTCGCAGCCGAGCGCAGGGTGTCCGGCCCCGGGCCCCGCTGACACTCCAGGCCCCACTTCCTGGTGGTGGGAATGAGCAGCGCGTCCCTGACCTCTGGCGCCCGATCCAAACAACCGAAGATGCCTGCAGACAGTCCAGGACGCACGGCCCCTGTGGCGTGCCCATGACCCAGGACGGGAGCAGGCTTGCTTCCTGAGGAGCTCGCCGCGTGGAGGAGGGGCCGAGGGCTGGAGAGTCACGTGGCACCTCTGCAGAGCAGGCGCGTGGGGATCCTGCCGGTGTGCCTGCGGGTGGCCCAGGTCACTGGAACGCTCGCCAGACAGCCGGTGGCTCCATGCACACTTCACTCTGTCTCACGCTTGCCTCTCTGTTGCCACGCTTCCTCCCCCTCCGGACTCAGACCACAGTCACTTTCTGCTCAGCCGAGTGGAGGAGGGCCAGCTGTCCGGGCTGACGGGAAACCGTGGTGGGCGGGCAGGCCGAGGCCCCGACCCCCCGGTCCGGGAGCTCCGCTCTCACGTTCCACTCTGACGTTCAGGGAACCACGAAGGGGAGGACACAGCACAACCCTCAGTTGGCCAAACCCCTTCACGTGGCTCCAAACCACAAAACCAGGAGGGCTCCTGCGGGTGTCTCAGAAGTGCCAGCCGACTTCTGGGGACGGGTGACCGCCACGCTGCCCACGTGGACCGTGCAAAAAGCTCGTGCCAGGGAGTTGACAGCAGCCCTCCACCAACCCAGGAAGACACCAGGCCTCCTACTTGGGGGTGGGGGGGTGGAGCAGGAACGTGAGCCAGGGCCCCCGCAGCCGACGCCTGGGACGCACAGGCCAATCCCTTCCTCCCCGGAGGGAGACGTGTCTTTCGCCCCCCCCAGGGGCCCGTTTTCCTGAGATCGCAGCTCTGGCTTTTGTAGCCTCGGCAGCAGCAGTAAAGGGGGACGGTGCCACTCAAGGTCACGCCAGGGGAACCATGGACCTAGGTTATAACTGTGGCTTCAGTGGCCCGTTTTTGCTTTCTGCTTTTCACAACTTCTCTGGTCTTCCTTCTCTTCACTCCACCCACTTTGCCCAGCTCCGCTGGTGTGGAGTATAACGTCCGTCAAGTGTCTCCAGATGCCTGTGAATCTGCCACGGATTTCCGAATGTGCCGAGAAAACAGACGCGGCGCACACCGACACAGCGGGCGGTCGGGAGCAGCCGCACGACACCGTGGAAATTCCACTCTCACGCAGAGGCTCTGGAGGGAGGTCTACTTGCTGAGTGTCTTCCTCTCGTGGAAGTGAGGGTTCGTGTCAGCAAAGCTCAGGAACAGCCTCCTGCCTCAGCACCGGGCCCTAAAACGTGCCCGGACTCCAGAGCGCTGGACCCCAAACTCGGACACAGGCCACCTCCGCAGGTCACCCGTTTACTCCACACCTGTCACGTGGGTCAGGAGCCCCCATGACAGGCGGGGCCGGTCGGGAGCTCTCCCGCTGCCTGTGCCACGGACTCTGTGCCGAGTGCCGAGCCCGGGACCCGCGGACGAGCCGCCCATGCAGAAGGCTCCTCTCTGAGCCCTCGCGCACCTGCACCCGCACGACAGACGCCCTTTCTCTGCCCCTCACAGAAGCACAGCCAGCGCTCCTCTGAGCACTGTCCTCAATGTCCTCAGTGACTTGGGGACGGCGGGGAGGCTCTACTGCCACGTCCGCCATCGGTCGCTTTGTATCCGGAACGGTCATGTGACGTTCCAGGTGCCGACCAGCCTTCGGGAAACTGGACTCGGAGTGACATTCTGAAGGAGTCACATGGTCCTGTGACGCAGACCAGGGGTGCAAATGCTCGCAGGTCTCCCCTCAGGTGCTTCGGAGAGAAGAGCGAGGCACGGGTGCGGTGATGCGGGGGGTCCGCAGGGCCCCCGAGAGCCAGCTGTGGTGCGGATGGACCAGAGATGGGCAGGGCGTTCCGATCTCTGCTTCCCAGTCAGCCAGCTCCGAGGGAGCGCCGAGCGTGGGCTCGCCAGTGCTGGCGAGACTGGACCCGCTCCAAAGAGCCGGAGCGGCGGGGGCCTCGCAGTGCGGCCCCCCTGGAGCTGCTGGGTCAGAACGGCTTCACCGCGGGCCCGACCGGGTGGGGAGGGACCCTCTGGTTCCTACCCCGTTTACCTTGATCTTTTGCCAGTTAGACCGTGGAGGGGATAGATGGTGACATACAGAAAACCTCCGGCAGCATGCGTGCTCTGCAGGTCCCCAACCTGGAGCACGAGGAGAAAGACAGCCGGGCAGAATAGAGCGTGTCTCCCCGTGGCCACGTGTGCAAGCCCGGTCGGGCTCCACGTGGATGCCACCGGAACACAGGAGGCCGTGGCGCTGCGGCCCCGGGGCGTGGAGAACCTCATCCTACAACTGGGGCGGCCACAAGCTCTCGCCAGAGGTGGAGCCGATGGGTCCCCAAGAGCCACTCCCCACACGTAGAAACGGAGCCCACCTCGGTGGACAAACGAGATTTGGGGTCAAAGACCCGCGTACCCCAGAAAGGCTGGAAACTAGATTTGCCATCATTTGTTATTTCACGATGTGAGACATTTTATTTCTGGGTGCGCCCCTTCAGAATCGGAGGCACCCGTTTTCCTAGATGCGGTCCCGCAGCCACGGGGTGAACTGTCACAATCCGAGACCAAACCTGTTTCACAAGAAAACATCTCTGGTTTTTCTTTAAAACAAAAGCAACTACATGCCTTCCGAAGCACACAAAAACCCGGGTTGTGGTGACGCGGCTGTGACCACGTTTCTTCCACGCGGAGACGCACTGCGGCAGCCGGAACCCCGGGCGTGGTGGCAGGACACATGTCCCCTGAAATAAAACCGGGACACGGCCCACACCGTCACGTGGAGACTGGGGTCTGAGTCATGTGAATTATGACCGGCAGTTTCCTCTGTAGTTTGAATAAAGAAAGCCAACGAAATAAAACAGCCAGGAAAGTTCAGGAATAGCTATCATCTGGCTCCCCAGGACGGAGCACGCGAACAAGCTGTTTGCTGGAACCGTGGGCGTTCATGCCCGGAACCCGTGCAGGTGGGTGATCCCGATGGCAGGCCCACAGGAGAGACCAGGGCCAGACTCCCGGCGGGCAGACCGGACGCTGGGCCCTGGGGCTGCCTCCTCGGGGCGTCTCCGAGGGGTCACCTCGTCACAAGAACCATTGTACCTTAAACAGACATGGTGCCTGCCTCCAGGCAAGCCCTTCTCATGGACAAGGAGCGCATCGCTGTCCGCAAACGGAGGGAAGACCCACAGGGACGCTGGTGACCAAGAGGACACTCAGATACACAGTCAAGAGACTGGGGAATCACAACGAAGCCCACTGCAGGGAGAGCGCACGCGGTAAAAACGGAGCCCGGCCCCCAGGCCGAAGAGCGACTCACCGGCGGAGTTGGGCGTGGAGGGCGAGTTGGCCTGGCTCCCGTGGGCGGACACGTTGGTGGCCGTGACGGCCGTTTTGGCGGCGTAGATATTGGCTTCCTCCTGGAACTTGCCTATGTTCTTCTTGTACCGGATCCGCTTATTCCCAAACCAGTTTGACACCTGCAGCAGTTTGAGAGAAGGCCAGAGCGTTACCATCTGTCCTCCGTGGGCGCACAGGGCTGGGGGGGCGGCGCGCAGAGGAGGCAGGCGGGCTTCTCCAGGGGGACGTCACACCGTGTGGGGAAGGCCTGACCTGCGAGAGGGCAACGGTGTACCGTGAGCCCCTCACGGAGCAGGCCCCACAGCGACGACAGCTCCCCCGGGGAGGAGGGGCCCCCAAGACTGGGACCCTTCCGGCCAGGCACCAGTTCCACGTTCGCTAACCTCGTGAGCGTGACACCAAAGTAAAGTGCCTTTCAACAGTAAGTGTAACTTTTGCAAGAATCTCCTTTGCCATTGCAATGCTCATGCTGACTTAGGCAACACAGACCTTCAAAGACCCATGTTAATTTCTGGCAACAATGACGTATTAAATGCAAATTTTGGGTGTGAAATAACTTCTGTGTGGACTAGGGTCTTGGCTGCGTCGCACTGAGGCCTCAGCACCGTGGAACTGGTCCCACAGACGTCCCTGCGTGGGCCACGCCCGTGTGACTGGCTGGGGAGAGTGCGCTCCAGGCTTCCACGGCAGAGCCGATGCACAGTGACCCTGACTTCCACCCACTTGTCCACATGCTTCCCTCCAGAGGGTCCCTGCAGCGGGCTGGCCTGACCGAGCCCCAGGCCCCGCACACCAGGCCCCTGGCCTGGGCCGAGCAGGGTGGGTGGCAGCAAGCTGTCCTCCCCCAGCTCCAGCCTCGGCGGGAAAGCTCACGCCGCACGTTCCAGACGTGACTCAGCACTGAAACGACGTGGTTTTTACGGGACCACCGAACAAAGCATGACCTGCGGGGGCAGGGGCTGACCACACAGCCGCCGCGGCTCACGGGGCTTGCCTAGGTCCCGGCGATGAGCGACAGAGGGAATTCGTGCAAAACCACACTCATTTTTTTTTAACACATTAGCAAACCGAACAACCTCACAAGCTAACTCTCAGAGTCCCCTACTATAGAAATCAAACCACTGCAGTTTATCAGTAAACACGAGAGAAAAACCCAGGGAGAAAACGCTGTTCACTGTACACACTCGTGCGACAGAAAGAGAGGCGTGAACCCGAAGACGCTGGGCCCTCACGAGGACACCGCCCGTCTGACGGCGCCCCGAAGCCCCGACGCGGCCTTCTCCACGCAGGGCGGCCTCCCAACCCGGGCTGCCACTGACGCCCAGCGCACGGGACAGAGGAAGGCACCGGGTTTCCATGAGGAGCTGGATGAGCCGAGAAAGGGGGACGAGGAGGTCGCTGGGGGGACTTTTGAGGAAGAAAGGCCACGCCTGAGGGCTGATTAAAACGGCCACGTGGGGAAAACAGGAAGAGTGGAGGAGGGGCGCGTCTGGGGACAGTGGCTGTGAGAGTGAGGACAGTGGATGGGAGAGAAGATGCCAGACATTCCTGGTGGCCCACCAGGCGACAGCCACACCCTGGGCGACATGGCGCACCTGTGTCCTGGTTAAGGAGCTCGCCGTCCGGCACATGCCGGGCGGGCCTGCCGGGCACCGATGACGGGCTCCGTCTGAGGCGGGGGAAGCAGGTCTACTGGGAAGGCCCGGAGCACGGTGTGAACACAGAAGTTTGAGGGGCCCGTGAACAGAGCCGTGGCAAAGTCCCTCCAGGTGGGAAGTGCCGTCTGCAGACTGGTCACTGGGGACGTGGATGAGACCACACAGCCCAGAGCAGTCTCTTCCAAAGTCAAGGGCGTGGAGAGCAGGTGGGAACAGATTCCAGGCTTCCCGCCCCCGAGAAGCCGACTCAGAACCAGGGGGAGACCTCGGGGTCCTCGAGGCCGCCCTCTGTGGGCGGCCCAGCTGCAGCCCTGGGGCCAGGGGGGGCGTGGAGGGGGCGAAGCAGAGGAAGACCACAGGTGGGCTTCGGGTGGGTTTTGGCAGACAGGCCTGTTTGGGTTTTGAATCGTGAGAGGACTCCTAAGAAAGATTTGGGAAGAACCGGTGACTTCCAATGATGGTGGACCCCAGGCCCCTGGGGCACGCAGAGATCCGAGTAAAGGCAGACGGCACTTCAGGGCAGGCGGCAGGAGACCCCGTCAGGAGACAGAGCAGGAGGGACCGAGAGGAAGGAGGGAAGCAGTGCCCAGGAGGCGAGAGGGAAGGGTTTGGCAGGGGAGGGTGACTGTGACCCAAGAAAGCAGGGAGGGAGGGAGGGAGGCGGGGAGGCGGGGAGGCGGCTGGCAAGGCTCCCCGTAGATGTGGGGTCTAGATGGGGACTCACTGCCCCGCGCAGCCCGGGAACTGGGGTCGGTGGGAGCCCCAGGAGCGAGTGCTCTCGGCTGACTGGGCCGCGCTCTGATGCCCCACTGTCCCCGACTCGCCTGGCGGCGGTGGACAGCCTGGCTGCTTGGGCAGAGTGACGTGACAGAGGACGGTGTCGTGGCCTTGGGTGGGTGGCAGAGGAGCAAGGTGACTGCATGGAAACAGTCACAGCAGCAGGCCTGTCTGCGCTGAGTTTCTGCAGGAAGGGGGTGCGGGCTGCGGAACGGGCCGGGGAGCCCCAACGTCCGGGTTCGACGCCGGCCCCCGCTGTCTCCTATGGGGGCCTGGGGGCCTGCACCCCAGAATCAGAGCTCAGATAACACAGATGACCCCACAGCTGACGCTCCCAGACTGTGGGGTAGAGGCTGGGGCCGCCCCTCACACGCACAGCGAGCACCGAGCGCACTGATTCTCTTTGCCCGGGGACAGAGGGTCTGGGTTGGCACAGGGGCGGTTCGAGAGCTGGACAAAGCCACGCCACCAGAGCGTGCCCAGGGGCTGTGCTGTGCCAGGTTGTCCAGACTGGAGATGACCTTCCGCAGGGTCGAAGCCCCGAGGGAGGGTCTGAGCTGAAAGGGAGTGGGCTCCTCCCACCCGTCTTTCTGGAAGGACGTGGCTAGGGCTGCTGCAAAGCCCCCGCTGGCTGGAGGGGCCGGTGATGTCTTCACTGCAAGTCCCCTGCATGGAGCAGCCGCCACTCTGGCGAGCCCAGCCCTGCTGGGGGACTCGCAGCTGCCGGCACCGCGCCCCCACAGGGAGCAGCAGAAGCCAGGACGCGACCCAGAAAGTGAGATGTTCAGCGACACCGCGACTGGAAGGCACTCAGCGTGGTGTCCCACTGCCGCCGCCGCCCGCTCCGCACCTCTCAGGCAGCGCCGGCCCGCGTGGGCCTCCTGCGTGTGACCTGGTTCTGCAAAACCTCCTCTGACAGACTGCAGAGCTCTCCCCCCCGACCCCAACTAGAGGCCACTGTGGCAGTCGGGGTACAGACCGAGGGAGAAGCCCGGGGGCCCCCCGACACCAGTGCACCCCACACGCACTGCCCGCCTCTCTCCCGCACTTCAGCGCCTGAGGCCCGGTCCCTAAACGCTTACTTCCCGCGCCTTCCCACGGCAGCTCTTTGGGGGAGGGGCACTCAGGGACATTTTGTCCAACTTTCTGATGTGATCACAGTGGCCTAAGTCCCTACACACCTTCCGCTCCCAGAGAGCCTACGAGAGAAGGCATTTTGGTCCCTGTCATTGAAACGCTCCGCCCCCAGCCCTCGCGGTCCCTGGGCCGGGCAGTGAGCGGGCCGGGGCTGCCTGTGTTTGAGAAGCAACGTGGGAAGTGCAGGCGGCTGTCCGAGTTCACGAAGAACCTTGCCCGCTCGGGCAGTGGGGGGACCGAGCCGTTCCTGCCTGCCCTCCTCTGTCTGCGGCCCCTGCAGGCCCCCAGTCCCTCGGGTGCTCGCCTGAGGCTCCTCCAGGGGCACACGCCACGCGCACACCCAGCCGTCTCAGGCTCCTGCGAGCTCACACTTGCAGCGTGTGAGTCCAGTAACGCCCACCGCCCAGCCCGGCCCGGTGGCCGCCCCCCGGGTGGCAGGCTGAGTCCGGGATGCCCACCTGGGACACGGTGATGCCGCACTTCTTGGCTAACTCCTCTTTGGCTTCCTCACTGGGGTAAGGGTTGCTGAGATGCGAATAGAAATACTCATTCAGGATTTCGGTCGCCTGCTTGTTGAAATTCCGCCTCTTCCGCCTGCACAGGGGACAAGAAACAAAGGACAGAACCGAGTTCACACCAAATACGCACAGACGGGGGTGGGGTCCTCACTGGGCGAAGACGCGGCTCGTGGAGGAGACCACATGGAGGCACTGGAGGCCAGAGCTGTCGCCACAGGCGTCTTAAATGCCCTGCTGCTCTGGGCCCAGAGTATTTACTGGAGGTGGGGGAGGGCGGGAGGTTTCCGACCGCTTGGGCTTGGAGCCCCGGATTAACCGAATCTCCGCTGCTGGGTCACCTGGAGGCCGCTGCACGCTTGGCCTCGCCAGCCGAGCGAGAAGTGTCCCACGAGCCTCAGGGCGTGGGCAGGGGGCGCCCACCGCCAGCACACTGCCTGCTGCACAGACCTGGCCGGGACCCCGTGCCTGCCCCTCACACACGCAGCCTGTGGGGTGCAGATGGTCACCCCCACTCCCCAGCCAGGGGAGCTGGGCCCGAAGGTCACAGCGTGAGTCTGTCTCGGAGCCAGCACCTCAGCCCAGGTCTGATGGTGCAACCAGCCACGTGCAGTGGTCTCTGTGCTCATCTCTGTCGCACGCGGCCGAGCCCCAGCTACGGACGAGAGGTCACTGTCTTTATTCCGGCCCCGGAGGCGGCTGGGAGAGGGCGGGGCTGCCTGACCTCCGGCCCGGAGAAGGGCATTTCCCTGAAGCGTGGCCGCCAAGTGGTGAGCCAGACGCCTGCAGACATCTTCGATGTACAGGCGGTGGAGGGGAAGGCGGCTCTTTGGATAAAAGGGTCTTTTTGCCTTTTAAAACAAGTGCTACTTGAACTAATTTAAAGTGAGGATTCTCTTGCCGCCTCCTGCCGGGAAAGGCCTCTCCCGGGGACCCACTCACCGCAGACACTGGCTGCTCCCCACTCTCCCAGCGGCTCACCTGAGGAGGTGGGCTCCTTCTGTAGATTGGCTCTATCAGCCCGGGCGCCTTCCTTGCCCCTATCAAAACTCCTCCTTACGGCTAAGATGTCCAGGGTGCCCCTGGTTCTGCCAGGGTGTTGACCCTCCAACTCAGCCCACAGAAAGCACCCACCACCTGCTGGATAAGAGACGCAGCTACCACGGTATTTCCAGGGCCCCGCCTGGACTCATCAGCACAGCGAGGTGCCTGATTTTACCGGGAGAGCACCCTGTCTGAGGCGAGGACCACGCCTGTCCAGGCCGTGCCAAGACCAAGCCGCCCTCCCGAACCACGCCGAGTTTCCGGGGCGCCCGGCACCAGAAGCTGGGCCGACGGGACTAAAAAGCCAACTAAACAGTTGGCTGGTGTCCCAAGCTCCCGCACAACGGGAGTTTGGCGAGAGAGCCCGGGGCCGACGAGGTCCCCAGGCTTGTTGTCTTCACACAGTCTCCGGGGCCTCTGCCTGAAGCACACAGTGGCTTGGGGTCTGGGGACCTGAGCCCCGAAGGCTGCCCTAACTGGGGGAGCCGGGCCATTGGGCCATTTGCCCGCTGTCTGTGCTCAGGTCACAGCGCCTTTTTTGTGATGTTTCTACTGAGCCTGAGCTGAAGGCAGCCTCTCGGGAGCAAGGGGGCGGTCAGGGCTGTGCAGACAACTGTCCCCACTCACTCCTCCTTGTGCCAGGACATCTTCCGAGGTGGCTCATCCATCCGATGGACCCTCTTATCACCCCTTTCCGCGGCTGTCTCAGTCTAGGGCCTGTTTTGGCCCAGGACAGGGGTTTTCAGAATTTCAGGAGACCTGTGACCATAGCACACTGCTGATGACAGTGTGACCTGAGCTGGGACACCTGGTTTCTGTGCTGCGGCGTGAAAGGTTACCAGCTCGGGTTGACACCGGAGAGTCAAGCCAAGCGAAAGCTCGGAGGGTCAGTTATCGGGTTTTGACGTGGAGAACTGGGCAGGCAGACTGAATGCTGCTGGACCAACGAGGCGTTTCGGGGACGAAACTGTGAACCGCAGTGATCTGAGGGGGACACACGGCACCGGGGACGCCAGCATCTGAGGGGGACACACGGCACCGGGGACGCCAGCAGACGTGCTGCCCCCGCACTAACCCTGCCCTCAGCCCACGCACCCCGGCCACTGTGCGCATCCGCCCGTCCCCTCCGGTGGCTGCCCTCCCAGAGCGCACCAGCGCCGGGCTGGGTCTCGCCCCGGCTGCCTCGCCTTCCCCTGGGGCAGCGGACGGCCCAGACCTCTTCTTTCAAGTGGCCCCGTCCCTCGCCCCGCGCTGCTCTGCCAGAGGTGGGCGTGGGAAGCCACTGTCCACCCCGTGGTGCCCGCAGGCTCAGCGCCACGGCGGAGTGGCTGTCAGCCACGTGTGGCCGTCCAGCAGCTAACATGTGGCTACTGAACCTGGAGAGCTATGAAATTTCATTTATTTCTATTTACTTTAACTGACTAAAACCCAAAGTCGAACACCACACAGGAGAGAGTGCAGCTCTAGACCGAAGCTTTGCCGAGACAGCCGGGGTGGCCCCCGGGACGCAGCGCAAAGACGCACAGTGGGGTCCGTCCTCGGAGAGCGACAGGCCTGCCCAAGGTCCCCCAGTGTTTGTCTGAAATGGGGACGTGCCCCTGGAGCACTGAAGTGCAGTGTGGGGGTCTTCCACCCCAGTCTGAGGCCCTCCGCAGTGGTCCCCGGCCCCTCCAGCCCTGCATCTGAGGGTCTGGCCGAGTCACGGACAACAGTTACTCTCCTCACTCTCGTCATCGGCTGTACAACGATGTGTGACGGGAATGACCCTGCTACCGCACCGCTGAGCGGTGCTTTGAACACTTCGTCCCAGACACCACCCTGGGCTCTCCTCCTCGTCACCGTATTTATTCCCGTGGATGAAACGGTCCATTTTACAGACATGAGAACCATGTCTCAGGATGGGCCACTTTCCCAGGACCACAAACTGCCCCAGGGTGTTGCCCAAACTTGGACCCAAGCAGTTGGACTGGAGAATTTACACCACAAAAGAACTGCCGTCCCTCCTCACCGAGCCCTGAGGGTTCCTGCCTCCTAACAGGACACAAGCGATGTGGTTTTGGGGACAGTTCAGGGCTTCCAGGGGTCCACCCCGTCCCCGGGGCCCATTCCCCACAGTCCTGCACTTGTTTCTGTAACTGTACCACGGCGCACGCGCCCCGCTCCCCACAGACAGGCCCGGCTGCCGGGCTCTCGCCTCTTCCCACCGCCCACGCCTCTCTCGCCGCGGCCTGTGCACGGTGTGCGTCTCCCCAACTTCTGGGCAAACCCCACAGGGAGGGGCCACGTTTCACTCGTCTGAAACCTGGTGCCCAACACCCAGTGACGACTCGCGTCGGCGACGTCCGTGGACGCCCGTGTGCGGTCTTCTTCGGCCTGTGACTCCCTCACTTGGCCAACGTCTCGCTGCTCCGAGACTCAGGACCACCCGCCCCACCCTCCCCTCAGGTGGGCCGGGCATGTGGGCTTCGTGAGTTCGTGTGTGGTCTGCGTGGTGTTCTGGGAGACTCCGCCCCTGAAGGCTGCACCCATCTGTGTCTTTGTCTTTGTCGTTCGGTGGCTAATGCAGTGCCCAGCAGACGGCAACAGCTCCGTTCTGCAGGCAACAGGTCTATAAGCCTGGAGCAGAGCACGCAGGCTCCTGGGGACAGAGACTTCACGGTCACAGCTGTGCTGTCCCAACCACCAAAGTCGGGCCCACGCTGGGCGGCCACAGGGGACTCACAGAAGAGGGTCACCCGGCAAAGCAGGGATGTTCCCGTATACACCTGGGGACCAGGCCCCGGCCGCCAGCGCTCCACCTGTCCCTGGGAGTCTTCCTGCCAAGTGCGCCCGACCGGCCTGGCTGAGCAGCACGCACCCCGGCGGGAGGGCGCCCCTGCGGAGCGAGGCACGTGTACCCGCCGCCCCACTGCAGCCCGGGACCGGTGCTCAGACACTCCCGCTCGAGCTGGGACAGCCGCTGCCAGGCTTGGATGGCACAGGGTCATGCTCTCTCACGGCCCCAAGTCCAGGTCGGAATAAGCGCTGAGGACAGCGGCAGTGGGCGAGCCGCTCTCCCGGGAGCCTGGCTCAGAGGCAGGGACCCCAAGGCAGCGAGCAAGGCAGAAAAGAAGCCTCTGTTGAAGGGACTGTCCTGCTTCTGCCCAATGGGACAGGCGAGGCGCAGGCTGGTGCGTGTGAAAGGAACGAGCGGAGTCTGACCTTGACCTGGTGCTGCAGAGCTGGGAGGCATGGCAAGACGAGACCCCACGACACAAGGGCCCTGCTCCCCCTCCTCCCCGACCCCTCTTTTGAAAAGAAGCCCGTCTGGGCCCGGCTCCTCCCTCTCAGCATCTGCCAACACGGACGCCAACGCCAGCATTTCAACGCGGGGCGTTGCCATGGGGACGCAGAGCTGGGATGGCAGGGTGGTGGCTGCACCAGGGAAGCACCGAGACAGAGGCCACCAGGCACCTGCCCGCTGCACCACGCAGAACAGCCCACTTAGAGGCCAGGCCGCCGGCGGCTGGGGTACCTGCGGGGGGAGGCTCGAGGTACGGGGTCCCCCCTGTGGGGGACTCTGCCCCCCCCCCGCTTTGGTTTACCTCTCCCGGGAACTCCGGCCGGCCCAGAGACATGCTGCTGGCTGGCACTCTCATATCACGTCCGCGGAGCCCAGAGCGCGCCGGAGAAGAGGGGGTGGCGGAGACGCCGGGCCTGGGGGCCTCAAAGACCACCATGGCAAAAACAGAAGGAAAACACGCAACCCCGGGGGAGAGACTGGGGGCGCAGGCACTGGAGCCTGATACACTGTGACCGGGAAACCGGTGTCCTGACGCAGCTGACGGCTTTTTTCAATTTCAAGAGTATGTTGATTGAAGGTGAGGACAGGGACACAGGGACACAAGGACGGGCCCAGGACAGAAGGACAACAGGGGAGAGCCCCCAGAAACCCACGGGAGAGGGGTGCGCCTGGGTGGGGCTGCCGTGGGCTCGTGGGGAAGTCGGATGTGAGGGGCCCCGGGGACGGGATCAGGGGTGAGCCGGGATGAGCTGCCGCTGCGCACTGCTCCCCCGGCTGCAGGTCTCCTGGAGACCCTCCGGGTTTGGGGGTGCTGCCCGTGGGGAACAGGGAGGGGGAAGGGAGGGGGCGGGCACGCTCCCGGGAGGAGGGCACACCTCCGACGCTTGGGGTGTGCAGGACGCTCTGGTCTACAGGGTGGGGGGCCCGGCTGCTGGTTGTGTTCTGTGTGTGGCTTCCGTCTCGAAGGCCCTTGGAGCCCAGGGTTCCGGCTGGGTTCTCCGGCCCCACAGCAGGCCCTGCCCTTGCTGTCACTGCTGCCCAGCCACCCTTGCTGCCAGGACACACACCAGCCCCCAGCAACCCGCCCCCTGCAGCTCTGGCCCCACCGACCGTCCCTGGCTGCACTGGCTCAGCCTCCAGCGTGGGGAAGACGGGGCCCGAGGGGCCGGCCGGGGCCACTCACCGCGCGTCCAGGAAGCGGGAGCGCAGGATCATGACGGCCTCGCACGTGCTCTGCTTGAGCTGCATCTGGATGGAGCTGAACTTGCGGTGGATGATGCTCACCATCCGCTCGATCTCCTTCGGGGAGATGGGCCGGGTCCGGCTCTGCTCCCGCAGCAGGTTCATCACGTGGGTGGTGAACTCGTTGCAGGCCTGGGGGGACAGGGCACAGCTCGGTGAGGGGGCCCGCAGGGCTGGTCGGTGGCGTTGGGTCAAATGGGAGGCACAGGGTAAGTGGCAGCACAGAAGGCCCACAGGACCCTAACTTTTGGCCACGAGTGGATGCTAAGAGGAAAGGAAATTCTCAATCACGCGTTTATCGCACGACTTCACTACTGTAACACACGAGAACCTAACTTTGACATGGAGCGCAGGTCACTGCCCTTCACCCCGACGTCCACGGTGCAGAGGTCGGGGTCAAGGAGGCACATCTGGGCCTTGTCCTTCACGTTGGCACGGAAGAGGAAGGGCCGTCCGCCCGCTCCAGCTCCCGCTCCCGCGGTAAGAAAGCCCCGCTCGCGGGTCCCGGGAGACCCCACATCTCCAACGCAAAGGGGCCGTCCTCGGAGGCCCTGCAGAAGCAGCACCAACGCGGTCTCCCCCGCAGACCGGAGCCTCGTCGGCTGTGACCCACGTGCCCTCTGCTCAGGGGTCCGCTGGAGGTCATCGGCCCGGCTCCCGAGTTTACAGCTGGGGGGATGGAGGCTGGAAAGACGGGGGCCCTTCCCCAATCCACACGGCCCCCAGCGGCCCATCCTGCCCCTCCAGCCGGGGCCGGTCCTTCCCCGGAGCCGAGCTGTCCCCTGGTCACCCCGCCTGCCACCTGCAGTCTGGTCCTAACTCGGCAACTCCGTGAAGCGCCCGTGCACAGGGCTGCTCGTGGCAGCACCATCCGAGTGAGTCCGGCGTGTGACGGGAAAGGCAAGCGGCCGCTCTGGGCTCTGAGGACGGGGGATGATGGGTCTGCGTCTGGACAGCAGCACAGTCGTGGGTGACAACACGGTGTCGCTGCGTCTCTGCAGCACCGAGCCCTTCCTCTGGTTGTCCAGGCAGTGACGGCAGCACTTCTGCTCTCTGCCCTCCGAGACGTCCTCGGAGGTTGGCTGGCCAAAGCCACAGAGCCATGTCCACTGGCTGCGTCTACACCGAGGGTGGTGGGGGACGGGGCTGGCCTTGACCTGCCTCCATGTGGACTCGGGCAAACCCTTCCCTGCTCAAGGCCTGGCTCGCCTGTGTGTGTGAGTGCTCCTGGCCCTCCCCCAAGCCTGGCTGTCCCCACGGGTCTCGGCGTGGGCTGAAGGCACAGGGCGCCTCACAGGAACCCAGTGGACGGGGCCTCCTCCTGGGCCCCCTGAGCTGGGGGCCTTCGAAAGCCGCCCGACCCCTCGGTCCCAGTCTCCCTTCTCTGTGGCAGGGCCGAGCTCCTGGGCAGCTATCTGGCCGCATGCGCATGGGCCACCGTCTCTCCGAAATGGGAGTCCCTTAGAACCCAGCACTCGCTGTGACTGGGAGAGCTTGCCCAGGCCTCAGCTTCCCTCCTGCAAAAACAAAGGGGTTCACAGGTGCCGTCTCTCTGAGCTGCAGGCACAGGCTGGGGAGGACCTGAGGACAATGGTCCGTGTGGCCTTCTGCCTCCACTCAAAGTCACCACAGAGACACAGCTCTGCACCTAACTTCCTTTTTCCGGAGCCTCCCACCCCGGCTGTGCAAAGAGGGAGGGAGACGGACCTGGGACGGAGCTGGCCGGGATCCCGGGTGGCTCGGGGGCGGGCGTGCAGGGTCGGGTGCAGCAGGCACCCCAGCCGGCTTCCCGCAGCCCCCACCTCGGGGGGCGGGAGGGGGGAGGCTGCCGAGTGTGCCGGCTCCCCGCTGCGAAGCCATAGTGCTCGGCTAACGACAACGTGCTTCGCTGCTGAGAATGAAACACACTGTCCGTGTCATCCCGGGGCCCCGCCTGCCCCACCTGCTCTGCCATCCACAGACGGCGGTGGCCTTCACCACGGCTGCGGGGCGGCGAGACAGCTGCTGGCCAGCTGCTCGGGACACACAGTGACGGCGCCCGCGTTCCAGGTCCCGGTCAGATGGACAAAACAGCACGACCCAGCTTTCTGCCGGCCTCCGCCGCCCACGCCTCCCCCCACTGGCCCCAGGCTGGCCGCAGCAGCCTCCGGAGCACCGTGCGTAGCTGGGTTACTGCCCGGCGGGACCCTCACAGGCTGGTGGGTTCCGGGATAGAAGGGCCTGCGGAGGCGTCATGAAGACAGTCCTTCCCAGGGCCAGTATGGCAGTGGCCCCCGGGAGCCGAGTGAAAGGACAGTCCCAGGCGCTGCTAGCACGAGACCGTTTCTGGAAGCTGCAAGCTGAGGACCAGCTCCCGGGGCAAGTCCCGATCCGGGTCCCCGACTGCACCCTGCTCTCTGCTCACTGACCTTCTCCCCTGAACTCCTGACTACGTGTGATACCAGTCCCCTGGAGGACGGTGCTGGGGCTGAGGGGACAGCCACTGTGAGTGTGCGACCCGGCCCGGGCCAGACTCCGACCGCCAGCATCCCGGCCGCGTCTCGCTTGAGAACGGGGGCCGCAGTGCCACAGCAGTGGAGAGACGCTTTAGGGGGCAGCGCTGGGCCCTGGCGGGGGCTCGGCTGCTGGGCGTCGTCCTGGGGGCCAGAAGGCTGCGGGATGGATCCTCAGGTGGGTGCACGCCGGAGGCAACTGACGCTGCCCCCCACCCCTCTTCTTCCTCTCTCCAACATCAGTAAACACACCCTCGGGGAAAGACTACAACAAAGGTAACTCGCAGGCTTCCGCCTCCGCGGTTCCATTCACGGACCGGCCCACGCCCCAGTCCTCAGCAACCAGGACGAGGTGCCGAAAAAGCGGGTGTCCAGCCCCGTGTGATGAAGGGTAATGAAGAAGACAACTTCCTCCCAGTCTTTCTAACGAACGCCCCAAAAGCCTGCTTCATTTAACAACCTCAGGGAGAGTCGGGCTGACCCGGGTGGGTTCCTATTTTTGGAGGGGTGAGGTGAGGGGGTGATCGCTCAACACTGCGATGCTAACTGGCCGTCGGGCTGCCCGCCCCCCACACCACAGACGAAACGAGACCCACAGAGACAGCCCAGGCGACCACCAGAGCGCCGTGGTCTGGTGCGGTCACTTCCGCTGGGCGCCTTCCTCTCTGAGGCCTCCTGCTCTTCACAAAGTGGCCGCCAGCGCCGGCTACAGACCGAGGAGGCAGCGCTTGCTCAGACCCGCTGGGAGGTTAACGGCACCGGTCCCTACTGCCTGCTCTTCCTGGTGGTTAGTGACACGGCTGATGTTAACAAACGACCAGGCACCCCGAGTGGGCTCAGAGGGCTCGGCCTCACCCCGAAGATGCCCCGTGGGCCAGGCCACCCGTCCCGGCCATTCCCACCACTTTGGCCACATGTTCTGCGAGGACAGACGGAGTCCTTCCTGAAGGCCCCTGTCCCCACACCTCATTCTCTGGAGCAGGCACACGTCCGGTCCCCGGGGCCACAGGGAAGCTGGCCCCCTGCACCTGCAGACGCGCTCAGCCCTGGACAAAGCGGAGTCGGCATCGCCCCAGAAGGCGGCGAACCCCGGATCCCAGGGTGACCCTGCCCCGCACTGGGTGTGTGGCCGGTGCCCCGGACTCATCACCTAACCTCTGACCTCACTTCTTCCCGTGTCCAAGGAGATGACCACACTACCTGTCCTGGGCACCCGACCTCAGGGTTACTGTCGGGGTTACGTGGCCACAGGACTGCCCTCGATTTGGATGAGGACAGAGGGGTGACTGATGGTCTAGTCGAGGAAATGGGCCGTCCCTCCGCCCTGCCTCGGGAGCTAAGAAGGAAGCCAGGCTCCCCCCTCACCCGGTCTCCGTTCCAGCTGTGGGTTTAGTTGGGGGGCCACCCTGGGGTTTCTCTGTGCCCCTGGCGTTTGCCCTGAGTTCCCTGGATGACGAGCGTAGGTGGGCAGCTGTGCCAGGGACAGGCTCGGTGGGGAAGGGGGCAGACGGCACAAGGCCGGCCAGGGGCCCTTGCAGAAAACGCCCCCACACGTCTTCCCCAGTCACCCACAGGTGGCTCTGGGGGCTTTGATGGGATGGGCCAGGTGGGTGCCCTCCTGTGGGTCAGCCAGCTCTCCAACCAGCACCTCCAGGCCCTGGGGCCATGTCTCGTGAGCCAGCCCTGTGGCCAGAACACCTGTTCTAGATGCTTCTTACCCCCCCGGAGCCCAGCCACCCGATGGCCCGATTGCACCCGGTGTGGCCTCAGCCCTGTAGCGGTGATCTGTCTCAGGAGACCGGGGACTGTGGAGAGATCCCCGCAGTGGAACTTCATCCCCTCTGAGCTTTAACAGGCCTTTCTGTTTTAAATTTGATGCCTGTCAAGCCTGCTGCGCCTTCTCCCTGCACGGTCCCAGCGGGTGGAGGCCGTGTGCCTCTCGCTCCCCCTCCCTCTCCCGTTGTGACTCTGGAAAGAGAGGACAGCCAGGGGGGCTGGACATGCCAGCGCCGTGCGTCACCGGCTGGGCCTTGGACCAGGGCTGCTCCAGAGTGGAGGTGATGGCAGTGTAGGTCAGGGAGGGGACAGAGGGGTGCCATGCCCGGCCATGGGAACAGCCTGCTGTGTCGGTGAGTGTGTATGTGTGTGCGCACGCGCGTGTGAGTAGAGGGCAGGCCTTGGTCCAGCAGTGCTCTGCTCTAACGAACGCCTCACCCTTACACGCCGCTGCGTGGTTCAGGGCCTCGCTTCTCACAACCCTGTGACATCCTGACCCCAAACCCGCAGCTCTCTGCCACCAGCTGCGGGGCAGCGGACGTGCAGCACAGGGTCTCGCAGACCGAGGGCCGAACGTCAGGACCGGGATCCTAGTCATCTGACTCCAGGGTCCCTGGAGACCCTGGCTGTTCCCCTGCTGCGCAGTGAGCTTTACGTGAGCAGGAGGGAGTGTCCGAGGGGCCCCAGGCTGCGTTCCAGGCTCCCCCCCCGCCCCTTGGGGCCCAGCGGAGCCTACCTGCTCGTACTTCTCCAGCTCCGTGTGGTAGATCTGTCTGATCTGGGACAGTTTGGCTCTGTAGTCCGAATGCTCCACTGAGTTGTCGGAACCGGCGCCCCCTGAGGCCGCTGCGGCCGCCGCCGCTGCCGCTGAGCCCCCGCCCTTCTCGGGGCCAGCCACGCCCTCCGCGAGCAGCATGTTGTCCAGGCGCATCAGCTGGGGGTCGGTGGGCTCCTCTTCCTGGGCACCCCGGATGCTCAGAACTGCAGGAAGACAGACAGAGGGAGAAATGGAAACTGGAGCCCCCATCGTCTCACTGCGTGTGTCTCTGGACCCCGTGCAGTGCGGCTTCTGAGCACCTGTGAGTGGCTGGGAAGGGCAGTCGCAAAGGAGGGGACTCGAGGAGGTCTGCTTTGTCCAGGTGGGTGGCACTCCCTTCCCAGGGCCCAGAGCCGTCACAGTCACATGACGGGGCCGGGCAGCGGTGGTCACCGCCTTGTGGGAAAGAGGCCCCTTCTGGGGAGACTTGGAAGAGTTCCGAGGACGGTGGTGACGGCGGGTGACCGCAAGAGAGTGCTCAGTGCCACTGAGCTGTACACTTAAAAATAGTTTAAAAGGCGCACTTTACCACAGTAAATTCGAAGACACGGTTAATAATAACTGCATCACTTCTGCTTTCATCCCCAAACTGCCTAATTTTAAGGGAAGGAAAACGGTTTCCTTCTCTGAGGCTGGTTTCAGACGTCTGCCAGCCCGCGCTGTTCGCCCTGACTCAGCCATATCCGCCCGGCCTGCACTTCCACTGCGCAGGGGCTGGGGTCGGAAGTGCGGTCCCCTGCGCTGGGCCGGTGGCAGTGCGGCGACCTGAAGCCACGGCCACGGGTGGTCCCGGAGCCACAGCAATGTCCTGGGAGACCAGGACTCTGTCCTGTCGGCCACCAGGCTGGGCCTCTGAGCACAGGGTGCCGGACTCAGAGAAGCCAGGACTCAGGAGGGGCGGGCAGCTCCCAGGAAGGAGACGGACGCCTTTTCCCAAAGCAGGACAGCCACAGGGCAGCTGCTGGGCCAGGGAGGTCGAGGGATCTGGCAAATCAGCAGGAGCCGGGTGGGAAGCCCCGTCCCCATGTCACACGGCCTGCCGCAAACATGTCACTCGTCCACACGGGACTGCCAGCCGCCATGACTTTGGTGCGAGAAGACCTGACCAGGCTTCCTGCTGAAAACCCCTGAAGAACATTCTGGGGGGTAGTGACCAGGGACAGAGAGGGGCGGGAGTCCCAAGTCCATCCGTACTTCAGGGAAGGGCTGCAGGGTCCCCAGGACCCAGCAGGTGTGACGCTGGACCAATGGGAAATGAGAGCTGCTTGGGGGCGGGTGATGCGTCTCATGAGCCCGCTGGGCTGAGACAGGGAAGGGACAGGAGCTCCGCGTGAGGGGACACGCAGACATCTGCGGTGCTCCGTCTCGGGCAATACCAGCAGTGCCCTTGCGCCCCTAGCTTTTAACAGACCGACGAGAACCAACCGGGAAAGTGCGTCACACAGAAATTCCAAGTCTTCCAGCGTCACGCACGCCCGTGTCCAGTGGGTGAACGAGAGGCTGCCGTGTCTAAGCGGAATCGACACCACCCAGGTTTGTGCTCGCAGCAGGCACCTGGTGAGCGGGAGACAGCGATGACTTAACAGGTCCTTCCCACCTCCGGGCGCCCGCAGACTCAGAGGAGCCCTCCCCTGGGCCCAGAGCCGTGAGCGTTCCGCCCCCAGGTCCAATTTCAGCCGAGGGGCTGCCCCTAATCCAGCGCCCACCACGTTCGGTCAGGGTCCCGCCCCGCCCACCGGGGCGCCCGGTCCTGATGCAGGTTTCAAGGAGAATCCCCCACTTGTGCCGGTCTGCGCGGGGCTTTGATGGCCTGGCCTGCACAGCCCCGCCGCTGAAAAGGTGGCCCTGCCCTGGATTTGCCCACAGAGGGGTCCCGACAGCATTCTTCAGCCTCTGGTCCTAAGTCTTAAAGGAGTGTTTCCTTCCTGCACAGGTCCCAGCACGTGTCAGGGCAGGTGAGTGGTTTCTATAGAAACGGTCGCTCGCCCTTTAAACAGCATCTGAGGTGACATCAGATAAGGGGACCGTCACAGCTCGAACACCCACTGTCCTTGCTTTGTCTTCACCCGTGGAGAAAAGACGCAAAGGTGCGTCTAGGACCCCAGGAGGGAGGGCGGGCGTGGGCCGTTCGTCCAGGCCTGAGCCCCTGGGCTGGAGCCCAGCAGCCCCAGGCGGGGCCGAGCGGGCTGGGCGCTGCAGCTCCCGGCAGCGCCCACTAGAGGGCACTGTCCCTTTGCCGAGGACACGTGGACTGGGAGGCTGGAAGCTTCCAGTCCTGGGGTGGCCCAGATTCACACCCACGGGTTGTGGGGAGGCCAGACCTCCAGAGAGGGCTGTCTTCAGCTGTGAACAGCAGTGCGGGGACCCAGGCCTGGGCCAGGAGACAGAAGACAGGGACAGAGAGCAGACAGGTGCTTGCGAGGGGGTGAGAGAGAGACTGCCACCCTCTGCTCTCCAGCCAGACTCTGCCCATTGAGAAAGCACAAGGTTTCTCGAAGGGGGACCCGCTGCCCACAAGCCGGGCCTCACATGCAGGGCCAGGAGGAGAGCCGGAGGGAGGGTGAGGGTCTCAGGCCTCACCCCAGGGCTGCTCCGCACCCCCACCCCGCCCGTGTTGGGCTGAACTCTGGACAGAGTCCGGGCGGACACACGCTGTCCTCGAGTCCCCCGCACAGAGCAAAGTGCCCGCCCCGAGACTGTTCTCTGCTCACTCCTCCCCTCTGCTCACCAAGTGCTCACACGCACTGCTCCAGTCACCTCACCAAGGTGAAGGGACCGTCCAAGGTCGCGAGCGGTGACGGAAGACGCAGGGGCAAAGTGACCGGGTAGAGCCCAGACTGGAATCCAGGTCTGGACGCGCCACCCAGGGCTGCACGCGGGAGGAGGCGGTGACCCTCGACCCTGTGTGGGTGTGGACACAGGTTTGTGCTCACACGCACTGGTCAGGCCCGACGGAGGCCACGGGGAGACGACAGCCAGAAACGAGGTCGGGAGGCAGGAGGTGCTCACCGACCCCCCGCTCCTCTAAACCCCCACAAATACGAGGGAGCCCCCGGGGGGCTCAGTTCCCCCAATGGGTCGCTGGCCGAGCGCCGTCCAGGTGCAGGGAGCCAGGTGGGGGCTCAGGCCTCCGCCATGAGGCGGGACCTCTCGTGCTTCCCGCCAGCGGCCCTGAGGCCTGGGGACCAAGACAGTCCCCAGGGGCAGCTGCTGTGTCTCGTTCCTCCAATTTCCTTCATGTCTCACACACCAGAGACTCCGCCCCCGGAAGAGACTGGGAGGCAGTTCAGTTCTTCTACACCACACGGGAGACTGAAACCTTGTCCCCACGCTGCTCGCCCCTCATGCTCAGCTGCCAGGTGGGTCCCTGACGAAAACCCCGTCTCCGTGTGGCCGAGTCTTTCCGTGGAGACGACACTGGCAGAGCCTCTGGTCGGCCTGGCCCGGGCGGCACACCTGAGCTGACCCTGACCCCGGTGGGGCATCTCTGACATGTGGCTGGCCGGGGAGCCTTGTTGCCTTTGCAGGTGACAGGTCCTGCAGGCACTGGAAACCAGTCTGTGCCGCCCACCCTGAGCCGTTTCCTCCCCGCACCCAGAGACCCGAAGCCTCAGAGGGTGCAGCCCGGGGGTTGGGTGGGAAGCCGGGTGCCTTCTGCCCCCTCCGACTCCTCTCCTCGGCTGTTAAGCAGGTTGACTGAGCCAGGGGCCAGGAGGGCTTCGGTAAGCCCCCAGCAAGACCAAGACGCCACCCGTGGTCCCACAGATACCGGGGCTGTGCGTGCACTGGGGTGGCACAGCTCCGGGATGGACGTGGGCCCGTGGGAGCTGCCCAGCGCCTCGCTCTGCCATGTGTAGCCGACAGCCACCGTGCCGGGCCCCACGTGGGCCAAGGGCAGCGTTTCAGCAGGTTCCCTGGTTTACATTTTCGGTCTTTTACAGGGAAACCTGCCAACTTTTCCTGCCATCCCCCTTCCGGGCTTGGTGTCGGCGGCTCTGGTCGCTTTCTTGGGATGTGGTAGGCCACAGGTGGCACTCACGCAATCCCCTCCTGGCACAGGGGGCCCTGCGGCCCGGCTGGCAGGGACGAGGCCCAAGTGCCAGGCAGGGGGCTCCAGCCGGCTGCTTAGACCCCCTCTGCCTAAGAGGAGCCGAGAGGGTGGCAGGAGCCGGGACTTCGCCCCACGTCAGCCAGCCTACCGTGCCCAGAGTGGAAGGGGAGCGGGCAGGGCCTCGGGAGAGCCTGTGTGGACCCCCCCACGGGAGAAACGTCTCCACCGAGTTGTACGTGAGAAGCATGGGGAGTGGATTATACTGCCGGCCTGCGCAGTGTCCCCTGGGATGCAAGCTTCTCTACAAGGATGAGCACAGCAGAATCGGGAGACATTTCTCCACGTTCTATCCCCTTAAAATGAACCCATTCTGAGGCTCAGTATCAATTAGGCACCTTGCACGCCGCCTGCTCCCCTGTAACAGCTAGTTCGTGAGAGATGTCCTCCCCCGCATGTTGCAGTGCCTTCCCCCCAACTGTGCGCAGGGGCCCTGGGCTCGCCTGCGAGCCCCCCAGCAGGGCACGGGGAAGTGGGGGGATGGAGCCAGCCCCGGGCGCCCCCATCGCCTGGCTGTCCTCAGTAACGCCAGGCACACTGCAATTCCTGTTAAGGACCCAATCAGGCTATTTCTACAAAAGCATGTGTCAGTGCTTGGGAAGCGGGGTTTTCCACTGCTGGTTGAATCTAAACTGACCCCGCGGAGAAGGGTCCCTCGGGGCACAGACGCAAGCAGGCGGCCCGGAGTCGGGGACTCGGTCTCCGCACGTTGGGGTCTGCGGTCCCAGGCGAGGCGCTGGCCCAACAGGAGACGTCTTCAGAAGCCGTCCTGTGCCTCCTCCGGCCCCTTCCTGCTCCTCGGCCCCAGAGCCTGAGAGAAGCCCCCGCCGAGCCCTCCCGACCGGGCAGGGCTCGGCCGGGAGGCGACGTCCCGGAAGCGGAGAGGCCCTTCTGGGAACCACTTAGCTCGGCGGCAGCCTCACCTTGTGTCAGACGGGCTGCCTGCAGGTCGTCTCTAATGGCTGCTCCCACGTCTCCATTAGGAAATAAATGAATGATGACCCGGAGAGAAGAGGCCTCCGCTCAGATGCAGGTCTGAGGACGCGGGATTCGGCG